CCGTTGATGGCTCTTTTTTAATTTTACCCCTCTCCCTTTAGTTTCTTGCCTTGTTTAATTGATTTGCTCTGTTGGACCTCATGGTATTGTAACCTTCATTGTCTTTTTCCTGGATGTTGTTTAGAATTGTTTGTAGAGCTGGTTTGGTATTCATGAAGTTTCTCTGGTGTTCTTTGTCATGGAAGTATCTTATCTCCCCATCCATTTTAAAAGAGAATTTTGCAGGATACATCAGTCTAGGTAGGAGCTTTTGGGGCTTGAAATATCTCACTCCAGGCTTTCCTTGACTTGAGGGTTTGTGTTGAAAAGTCTGCTATGATTCTGATGGGCTTTCTTTGCATATGATTTGTTTCTTTTCTCTAACTGCCTGCAGTATTTTGTTGTTCTGTTGGGTTTCTGGGATGTTGACTATTACATGTCTAGGTATAGATTTTTTTTTTTATCATGGAGTCCTATATGCTTCACTTATTTGTACATCAAATTCTTCCCCTCTGTTTGGGGAGTTTTCTGTCATTAGTTGTGTGAATAGTTTGTTTTAAATCTTTTGTACTTTCTCCTGCTACTTCATGGATTCATATCAGTCTTATGTTATTCTTCTTTGCACCATCTAGGAGTTGTTGGATCAATTTCTCATGATCCCTTACTGTTTTTAAGAGATCTCTCTTTTCATGGTCACTGACTATAATCCTGTCTTCTATATCTGAAATTCTATCTTCACATTCAAATGCTTTCAATAGAGTTTTTAATATCCTGGATATCTGTTTGAATCTGTTTTCTGTATTCCATTTCTTTCCTATGCTGGGCATTCATGGCTTCTATCATGGTCCTGAGCTCATCTTTTTTTTTTTTTTTGGTCTGCTTCTGTTCTAATGTCTCTAATCATGTCTTTCATTGTGCTCACCATCTCTGTAGTTATCTGGGAAATTATTTCTGTTTTGAATTTTTCTAGAGCCTGATTGATCTATTTTGTTACTTCCTGTGCTATGAGTTCAAGGTGTCCTGGTGGGTTGATTGTCAGACTTTTCCATCTAGTTTTCCCTAGAATTTGCTGTTGGTGAACTGGAAGTCTGTATTTGTGCCTTGCTTAAGTGTTTTCTCATGTTTATTTTTGTTGTTGGGCTGCCCTTGGTTTAATTCCTGGGTTAGTATTTTGATCTTCCTGATATAGCTGCTCTTTAGGTTTTGAGTCTCTAATGACTCAGAGACACTCTCATTTTCATAATATCAGGAAGGACAACTGATTTAATCAAAATCACAACCCTTTAGCCTTATTGATACAATCAGCAACACAGTAGCATCAAGCACAGCTTAGAAATTGATCATTTGTGGTAGTTATTAATCTATCACCTTTAACCATGTGAATTAAATAAAAATAGAGGACCTGCCCAAAATATATGTATAGTGAATAAACTCTTCAATATAGCAACTTTACCCTTCAGGATGGGAACTTAGAAGGAGTTGGGAGGAGAGGAATAGATATGTAAAAGAATAAAAGAAGGTTTAAAATGAAACCAAAGTTCACAGGATAATCATGCAAACTCTAGGAACCTATTGAAGACACAGAGTGCAAGAACAAAGACAAGAATGGAACAACTTAACTGTAATAGGGATGCTATAAATTGTACTCATTTTCCTTTGAAACAAATGAACATTGAGTGAAGGAAAAGAGAGAAGAAAAGAAAAAGAAAGAAGAAATCCAAATTAGGGCAGGAACAGGAACAAAAAGGGAGATAAAGAATAATGTGGGGGAGCAAGAGACTAAGTGAGAAAAAGAAGAAAGAAAAGAATTCGCAGAATGGGAAAAATAAAATTTTAAAAATAACAAAAAGATTTGAAGATCCTCTTTCAGGGTATATCTCTGCTGTCACAGTAGACAATGTGGGCAGCAATGTGTACAACTAAGTCAATTAGTCTCAGCTAGCCGACCGCAGACCCCTGAGATTCAGGCTAAATTCTGGCTGCAAGGCCCGAGTTGGGCTTCCTGAACTCCTTCAGGGTTAAACTCTGCAAGGTTGTACGGCAGGTTCCAGCTGCCCTTCCCCTGAAGATAGTCCAAGTTCTGAAGGAAGGTGGTGATCCCTCTAACGTACCAGCTATGGAGGTCTGATGTGACTTTATTGCTATTGTTCACTTCCATTCTATCTTCTGGAGCTGAGTAAAATGGCCTTTATGACTACCTGTACCTCTTCAGTGTCCAAGTACCAGCACAACCAGGAGGCCTGGGGGTAGGGGATGCTGCAGATGCACCCACACAGCTGGGCGTTCCTCACCCATCTGCTCCACTGAAGGCCTGGGGCACTGGAGGTGGGGGAGCAGTGAGTTCCCTGCGCAGCTGAGCACTTCTCACCAGTCTGTCATTAAAATTATTTACCTTTCATAGTCATTTTGACTTTGGAGAAGGGCTAGCAGTCACACCCTTCCAGAGCTTACAGATAAGGAGGATGAATATATACATTAATCTTTTTAAGAGCCTGCTTTTGTGTTGGATGGTACTCAGCAGCATCATTTCTGTGTCTGTGTGTGTGTGTATTGTGTGTGTATGAATTATGCCTCATAAGGACAGTCATAAAAGTGGGTTTCCAGAACTGCTTCAGAAAATGGCAAGAAGAATGGAATAAGTATGTTTGAAGCAAGGGGGATAAATGGCACTGTTTGTTTTACTTGAATAAAATTTAAAATGTTCACTGTACATTTCAATCATACCTGGTAAATTTACTCTACCTAAGTTCCTTCTCTAAGTCTGCTTTTGGGGGAAGCCAAATTAAAAGACTGGGGGTATGAGTGTATGTTTGTTATAAGGTGGCTAATTCTACTCAACAATCTTGATAAACTTGGATTGATCTATCCTGAATTAACTCAACCAATGAAAAATACATAACAGGAATAGTTAAGTTACACAGCTTCATCTTGGTTGTTTGTTTCTTCTGTCCCTGGCTGGTACATTTTTAGGCCCTTCCTCATCTTTTCCTAGAATGCATCAAACCACAAATGAGTGACCACAAAGTTACACATGTGGGACACCTCACATTTCATACAGAAATACTTTTCTTAAAACTGAAATCATGTCATTTGCATGAAAACAAATGAAACATTAAGTAAAATAGCAGTATTACACATGTGGGACACCTCACATTTCATACAGGAATACTTTTCTTAAAACTGAAATCATGTCATTTGCATGAAAACAAATGAAACATTAAGTAAAATCAGTCAGACACAGAAAATCAAATATTGCATATTTTCTGTCATGTGTATTCATATATACATGGAGAGGGAGAGGGAGAAAAAGAACATGAATGCAGAAGGCAGCATACTAGAAAACAGGATCTAAGGAAGGAGGGGGAGGAAAAAGGTAAAAGAATAAAGGGGGGAACAGGTAAAAATATGTTTTATGTATGTACAAATATACAAAAATGAAACCTACTATCCTATATAACTAATATGCACTAATAAAGAGAAATTATTTTTCAAAGATGTGTCATTTAGCTTCTGTTGAGAGAAGAATTGGAGTTTTCTAAGGAAAAGGGTAGGGGAGGGTGGTAAACAACATTTGAGAGTAGAAATTGCATGCACACAGAAGTGCAGAGGGAAACATGGCCAAATATATTCTAAACAGAAAATAGCCAAGTTTACAAAGCAAAGGATAATAGAAAATAATACTAGAGGGTCATGTGACTAAATTTGCTGAGTACTTTTGAGAAATTACCTGGTTAATAGGTTTTGGTTGTGGTTTTTATGTTTGTTTGTTTTGTACTGGGGATCAAACTGGGGTCCTTGTGCTTGCAAGGCAGGTGGCAGAGCCCCTGAGCTAAATCCCCAGCCTTTATTTACCTGAATAATACAAAGGATATCTGACTAGATCTATTCTCACAGGAAGACTTTCAAAAATGCTCAGGGAAAACTGAGGAGAAGACAAACCAAGTAAAAAATACCAGCAAAGTGCATCAGACACAAACAGCTGCATTTAAAAGATGACCAAAGTGATGTCCCCAATACCGGACAAAGTATTATTTTTAGTCTTTCTAATTTAATACCCCATTCATTTAGTACTCCAACTTTATTACTTCACTCAACGTTACTCTGTATTAGGCATTGTTCCAGGTTTGGGGGATATAATAGTGAGCAAAAAGATAAAGACTATCCTGCCCTCATGGAGTTTATATTTTGCTATTCAAAGCAGATACCCTACATGGTCAAATTAAGTTAAAATATTAGAATAGATAAGCATGACTAGGAAGTGAGAGGATAGGAATTGAGCCAGAGCCACAAACACCCGAAACTAGACTTCTATTAGGGGAACAGGGAGCAGAGGACAGGGTGCCTGGTTGTCTCAAACAATAGAGAGTACAGCGGGGGCAGGGGCTGGCTGGGTGAGGTTTTATATAGGCAAAGGGCCATACGAGGAGGGGGCATAATGGAGGCAGATGTTTGGCTGCAGCCAGAGGTGAGGTTTAAGTCCATTGGCAGGTTTGAATTTCCCAGTGGGAAGGACTAGAAAGTGGGAGAGCTTTGTGGCAGGAAAATTGGGTCATTGTTTCCTGGACTGATGTATTATCTGCCAGGAAGAGCCATTTAGGATGTGGGGTCAGGGCCAGTTTATCTAGTGGAGAACTCAGGAAGCACCCAGGGACCAAGGTCAAGAGGGATGGTTTATTAACCAAAGAACAATCTGTTCATACTCATTAAGAATTCATTTCTCTCACTTGTATGCCATGAAAACCCAAGAAGTTCAGTGAGACAAATATTATCATCATTCCTTTCTTTTCATATTTTGAAACAGAATGTCAAAAAAGTTAAGTAATTTTCTGAAATTACTAAATGTCAGTATAGAGGAAGACTTTCTTTTCAGATTTGAAACAGAATGTCAGAAAATTTAGTTTCCCAAATTACTAAGTGGCAGTAGAGAGGAAGACTCACCTTCGGAAACTCTGAGGTCTATCTTCTGCTCTTCAATGAGTCATATCACTGCCCAACAAACACAAAAAGAGTAAAGTGGGTTGTTGAGAGAAGAAATAAGCTTTATTTGCTGTGTCAGACCATGCACAGTAGGTAGGAGCATGTTAAGAATGACCTGTATTTAATGACAAAGTTTCTGGTCCAGAGAAAGGAAAAATCATTGTATCTTTCTATAAACTGTCAGAAATGTGCTCAGCTTGGGCCATGTGCTATCATTTCACTGCCTGGGAACTAAACCTTAATCATGCATAGGTTTTAAATCAGACATTTTCTTATCCTGATGAGTAATCTTCAGTCTGCTTGGAACCAGAACGTATTTGAGGATATACATATATATATATATAAAGCCCAACAGTCAAGAGACAAATCAAAACACACACAGAAAGAGTCACAACTAGTGTTAAGAAAACACTTTTTGTTGTAGACACTGGGCCACTGTCAATGCTACCTCCAAGGCCTCTGTGCAGGCAGTTGGGTGGGGACCACCCTTCAGTACAGTGGCAGTGATGCTTGTTATTGCAGGTCCCCTTCATATTGCAAGTCTCAGGAAGGCAGACTTGTGGCAGGACAGACAGACTGACACACTTCTTGTGGATGCAGATCTTTCCTGCTCCACAGGCAGTGCCATCTTTCACTTCACCAATGTCAGGTATGCTCAGCCCTAAGTGATGGCCAATACTCCAGCATGGGACACCATTGACGTGGGTGTTCCGCAAAACAGAATGATCTTGAAGATATGGCATGTCTTCTACATTTTCACACTGAATTCTCCCACATAAGATGTCAGATATGTTACATTTTATGTATACCATGCCGTTTGTACCACAGTGGCCAAAACTGTTTCCCTGAGAGTTGATTTCTCTATAACAGTTCTGAGATGCACTCTTTGCCTTTTGGCCAAAAATCTCCCTGCACTGTTTGTCATGGTTATTACATTGCTTTTGATAACAGTAAGCATTTTTACTGCAGGGCATCCCATCCTGCACATGTGCATCTTCTGGGCACCAGTGGGATGTGCCATTGCACCACTCGGGAAGGTCACATTCATTGACCTGCTGTCTGCACAGTTCCCCTGATTGCATGAATTTGCAGTCTTTGCAACACAGTCCAAAAGCACAAGCAGCTCCAGACCTCAGAGTACAGTTTAACAAACAGCAGGGATCATGTTCACACTGCTGTATTGCTCCACAATCACACTCCTCTTCTCTTTCAACCACAGCATTCCCACAGCGTTTAAGCAGAAAGACTTTTGCTGGTCTTGGAAAATTGTGCAGGCATGATCCTTGGTTTAAAATAGTTTTCAGAAAATTAACATAGCTGCAATTGGTGAATCTCTCTGCTTCTGGTATTCTGAGAGCACTCATGATGCAACCACTTTTCCCACATGAACAGAATTCCTCATCATGCTGCATACCCAAAATGTGACCCAACTCATGGGCCACAGTGTTAGCAAAGAGAGACCAAGGGTCTCCCTGGAAATTACAAACTCCACAGTCAATAGGAGAATGACATATTCCTGCAACATAGGCTAGACCAAGTATGTTTATATGTGAACTTTTTATGAAAATATGTGCAGCATCATGCTGTAGCTGGGAAAGACTGATTTTTTTCCACTGAGAGAAATCATTCAAAACTTGTTCTATACTTGTCATCTGGAAAATGTTTCCTTGATTCCAAATCTCAATCCCAACCAAAGTCACATAGGTACTCAACTGATGATACATAGAATCCACTATATTAACAACAAGAAATATGTCCTCTTGAACTTTTGACAAGTTGCTTTGTGAGTAAATGAAGAAATCATGGTCTATCACTACAACCAGCTCCAGAAACCATATGTGGGTCCACCAATCTCCAGCAGAATTGTTTTTCTGAACTAAGTTCTCATCTACTTCAAATTCCAAGGGCTGGTATGCAGTTTTCTTCTCTGTTAAACCACACTTCATGGGTGGGAATTGTGTCTCATTACTTTTTAAACTGTAAACTAGATGTTCAAATGTAGTAGAGTGCCTGATGGGTTCAATTTCATACACGAGGTCATTTATTTGTAACACTCCCCGCAATCCCCCAAAACAGACACTGAAAACAACCAGAGACTCAAGGGCTCCTTCCACATAACCATGATAGTAACAGTCATCAGGGATGAAGGGGTGATCCTCCAAGAGGGCATGTTGTTCTGTGTAGGTGAGTACAGGGAGGTGTGTGGAAACCAACAGCTTCTTGACCCTCATGTGAACAACATGTCTCTGGCCCCCAAATAGCAGGCTATAGGAGAGCCATCCTGTACTCTTTGCACCTCTGCCCCTGCTGTTCACTTTCAAGGGGGTCACCACTTCTACAGAACTGAGACGTTGGGCAGGCCTAGCCTGGGAGAGGCTGGGAGAGATCAGAGACACCTCCAGCCAGAGAAACAGAAGAATGATCCTCATGGATGCTCCATCCTTCACAGCCCCCATTATGGAACTATCTGTCCAATGCAGAAGAGTAAAAGGCATTGCTTGCCTTGCTCTTTCCCCTGTAGTTCTCAGGGTGCAGTGCTGACCTTTATGGATCTGTGTCTTGGGAGAGTTGGACCATCACAGCTGCAATGCTAAAAGCAAAAAGAAAAAGAAAAAGGAGACAGGTGATAGAATTGAGTAAACAAGTCAGGGAAGAAAAAGAATAGAGTGATTAAAAATTGAGGAACTCAAGAAAGTTATTTGGATTTGATCTGAACAAATGGGTGTGGAGAGTGAGGAGGGCAGAGATGAGACCAACCGGGCTTTATGTTGATAATGGTTGAAGTTGGAAGAAGGGTGCTTATACAATTATCTACATTATGTGGGTAGAATAAAATTGTTAGAGCAAAATTAGAGTCTAAAGAATAGGGTGACTTTGTCTAACAATGTATTGCTTTATGTTGTCCTTGCATAACTATTGAAAGTGTTTCATTTGTCAAAACTGGAGACATCAAAAATAAGGACACTTCTTAGGTCAATTTGCATTAATGTCATGCTTTACATTAGTTTTTTCTATATTTGATGTCTCCTCATTGTAGTCTCTATTCATATCTTTATTAAACTGCAAGTCCTTGATCACTTTCACTCATTTTAGTATCTTCTAAAACATCTTGTGTATTTCTGTATACAAAGAAAAATAGAAACAAACAGTGAAGTACATATTCATGTTTAATTATAATTCTAGAAAAAGAAATAAATTCATAAAAATGTGCTATCTGTTAAGCATATTAGTTTTACAAATAAATAAGTTAGCTAAAACTTATTAGGCAGTTAGACAGGGCTGGGCTCTGAGCATAGATAACAATTGAGGTACATTCACTGGTTAGCATTATAAAAAGAGAAAAGGTACTACACCTACATACTTCCTCTGCGGATAAATACAGTGATTGATATTAAATAGGCATCAATCTCCTCCATAGCCCATTGCCTTCTTCGTTCCACATATGCTAGCTATACAGCTAATTTCCCCATTTAATCCCCATTTAATCAATATTACCTGGGTGACTGTACTTGTAATCTTATTGATTGTGAAAGACAAAAGTAAACTAAACTTTAGCTGTGCGGCCCCCCACCCCAGGCTATTAACTGCGCTTTCTGCTTCTCTAACCTTTCTTTCTCACATCCTGCTGATTAGATCAACAGCTGCAAGACTCTCTAACCACAGTAAAACCTTATCCAAAACAAACAGACCCTGAAGAGAGCTACTACCCTAACTCATCTAGAGAAGCCCAGGGTTACAAGTTTGTTCAGCCCTATAAAAACCTTGCTTCTTTTTGATTCGGAGCTCCACTCCCTTTGAGACTGGGGTCCATGCTCATTAATAAACTTCTCCTAGTCCTGTGAATTTTCTGTCTTCATGCCAGTTATTCTCATTTCGTCTGACAGTAGGTCATGGTTTTTTCCAACCTCCTAATTTTACATTCAGTTTTGTAGCGTTGTCTCACTTTGTACCCACCTCACCACATGGCTTGGCTGTATAAAATATCTTTGAAGAGTGGGATGGGTGGGCAAACCAAATTCTGGACCCTCTTCTGTCTTAGAAGCTTTCTTCTTTTGTTTGTTTTGTTTTTTTGTTTTTTGGGGGCGGGTACTGGGGATCGAATTCGGGTCTTTGCGCTTGCAAGGCAGGCAGCAGTAGAAGCTTTCTTTCTCTCAATACACTTTTCCTACTCTAAACATACCTTGTTCCTAGAATTCATTATTTGATTTTAGAGAACATAAACTCACATTTTGAATATCTAGTAGGTTTGGGAGTTACGTCTCTTCCCCTTTTATCTCTAAGAAAAAGAAAACTGTCTTATTAAGGCAAAGGCATCAGATTGCCTGCAATTTTATTTTTATTTATTTATTTTTAGTATATGTTTGTGGTATGTGCAGTTTACAGTCATCTTGGGGAATAGGTACGTATTTGTAATGCAACTCATTTCTTTTTAATACCCTTTCCTCTTTCTCTAATTCCCCTTTCCCCATTATGATTTTTCATATTGTTCAGTTTAGATCACGTTTATGGCATATAATATTTATGTTTACTGAAGTTATTAGGTACCTGTACTTGACATATAGTTATTCTGCTCATTTTACCTTAGCATCCACACCTCTAACTTAGTCTCTTGAATGCCTTCAAATATGTAGTAGTAAAATGGAAATAATTTTCTCTGTAGCTAAAGCTGGACTTAATAACAGGGAAAGATGATTTCCTTCTAATGCTTTTAACATTGCTAGGTATGCCTGAGCCCATGCTATCTGAAAGATCTCAGGAATTTTCTTTGTTCTACCTTCCCACCACAAGCAAATAAGGTAAAACTCAACGCACTGTGTTAACCAATGAACCTGCTATATGGGAAACTCTGGTTGCTGGGTCCACGTGTGAATGAAGCATTGAAACTTGTAATTTTCTAACCAATGAAATGATGTGCCTGTAGCCCCGCCCCTTCCTGCAGTGTCTAACAACCCAGCTCTGGCTGAGTTGCAAATCCCAGACTGACCCACCAGAGTTAAGAATAAAGCTGTACACTTTGCTTCCGAGACTCCTCGGTGCGGCTTCCACTCCCTGGACTACCTGCATTGAGCTGTAGATGCTGATGCTTTAACACTAGAGCTGTGTGTGAGCTCTGGAGCTGTAACACTAGAGCTGCATATGCTGGCTGGCACTTTGCTGCCACAATATGAACCAGCTATCCGCATTCTAGGTATCTTCCCCAAAGAGCTTAAGACCTCCTACTACAGTGATGCACACATAACAATGTTTATAGCACTACAATTCACAATAGCTAACTCTTGGAGGCAGCCTGTATGATTGTGTAAAGAAAAAATGTGGTATCTATACATAATGGAAAAATACTTGGGAGTAAAGGAAGACAAATTTGAGACATCTGTAGGAAAATAGGTGCACCTGGGAAACATGCTGCTCGTGAAATAAACCAGACATACAAGCTTCAGTGCCGTACGCTATCTCTCATTTGAATAAGGCAAAGTACAAAGAGTTAGGACCTGCCGTTTTAGAATTGCCAGGGAAGGGTCCCCATGTTTGCTCAAATATATTTACTGCCAGTTTTTTTAAAAATGGGGAATTGTTTTACCTGGCATACGGTCTGCCTGGCAACACCTATTCATTTCTTTCCTTCATCATAACAAAAGCACTTTCATATTCAGAAAAAAAGAAAGTGCCAGATGTGTCAGGTACTAGGGAAAGAAAATGAAACAGAAACTAATATTGGTTTGGTGCAGAAACCTGGGGCAGGAGCAAAAATAAGCTCTAGGGGCCTGTAATATTGTAGTTGATACTTTATTCTGAATATACTAGGAAGAATTCTTTTTATATGCTGGAGAAAATGTCCACACATTGTGTCATCTTCACTAACTGACAAAAAATAGAGGAAAAGGCAACAAGACTGAAAACAAAGGAAACAGACATTTATTATATATTATGTCGCAAACCAGATTACTCCCAGGCTACACTTTATGCTTGAGGGCTCCTCTTATTGGGTAGACCTCCATAAAGACTACAGGAAGGGCTCAACAATGCACTGTATGAAACTCACCGATTATAATTCATAAACAAGAGACTTGATAAAGGTTTTCTGAAATTCGATCATAAAGCATGTAATTATTGCCCTCGCTACTAATAAGTTCTGAAGCTGAATTTGTCTCTAAACAATGAGAAAAAAAAATACCCTCGGATCTGCCATCAAAACTGCGATGTAACAAAGTAATTCTCATAAAGGAGGTAAATGAAGAGCCGATTTAAAACATTACAGAGAAATGCATGTCGCAGGTGTGTCAGGACTTAAATAATGAGGATGTTCAAATTTTATGGAGTTTGCGATGCTTTCAACCTTTAAACATTTGGGATTCCTTGCCATTCCTTTTTTATGCTAAAGAAACTTTTTACATTTGAAGGTTTGTGTTCTTTCCTCTTAAAGCGGGTACCTGATCACATAGACGCGTCACGACCAAAACCTTCATTCCGTCGGCGGGAAAACATCGACAGAAGTACAGCTTTTCATAAGAAGAGTGTTCGTTTCTAAAAGAATCTTTCATCACACTAGTGCGACGCTTTGTATAGGAGAGGTGGAAGATGAAGATGGCTAACCAAGTGCCAATCAAATCTTGAACTCTGAATGCATTTCTAGTTCACGCTTCGTTTAGCCTGATTCAAGCTCCCCTCCACCTCCGTACAACTTCTATTTTCTGACAGCAGGATGGGGTGGGGGAGAGGAAGAGGAAGAAGAGGGCGAGTGTTGGGAAGAGGGAAAGACGGAAGCAAGGAAAGAGGGAAGGGGGGAGAAGGGGAGAGGAAGAAAGAGGGAGAGAGGGAGGAGAAAAAGAGAGGGAACAAACTACACCTTCAACCTCTTTCAGGAAGGCTGGGTTCATCTATATGCCTTGTAAAACATGAGCTCTAAAGAAAGTACGTCTTACTGAAGGCTCTGTCCAAGAAACACCATTCTCAGAGGCCTCATATACATTACGGTTCAAACTCTAGCCTCCTGCTCTCAGCAGCCCACAAAAGCAATACTACATCTTTCATCCTGCAAAATCTAACTGCACTAACTTCTACATTTCTTTCCTTCTATTTTTATCCTTTAATTTTTAAATTTTATTTTATTATTTACTCATTGCCTTTGTGCATTTTTGAGACAGGGTCTCTCTATGGAGTTCAGACTGGCCTAACTCACTATGTAGCCTAGGCTGGCCTTGAGCTCCCAGAGCTCCTCCCGCTTCAGGATTACCGGTGTGCACCACCATCCCCAGCTCACATTTCTTACCAACCACTCTTCCACTCACTTCCAAGTCCTTGGCATCCAGCTGATAAAAGTCTCCACTAAAGATCTTAACTCCCATCTTAGCTGATGCTAGCAAGTAAACACGTCATCTGAAAGCCAAAGCTTTTTAAGTTTTCTTTAACTTCTTCAATTCGCCTTTGAAGCAATGCAGTTTACTCACTCACGGCTACAGGCTCACGAAGGATAAATGGTTTCCAGGACTTTCACCCTTACTAACCCATCAGGGTCAGCACTCGTATCTCCCTTTCCTCTGTGAACTCCCCGTCCCAGTCTCAGGGGCAGTCACCGGCCTCCAGGACGGGACT